TTCGCCGGCTCACAGAGCAACTTTTGGCATCATACTCAATTGGAACGGACGCGTTGTGTCAGGATGCGGCGCCGGGGCGGACTTTGATCAGCAGATTGTCAATTTCTTTTGAAGAAACCAAACGTTTTTATTTCATTCCTTCCTCCGGTAGATCGGCGACTTTTCCCACTAAGAAAAAGGCGGCGGCCAAGCTGGCCTGGCTTGACCCCGAAGGACGTCTTTTTGCTCCACTTCTGAGGCTTGACGACAACGCTCAGCCGCCAAAACCAAAGCGCACGCGCTCTCCCACGCACGCCTCTCTTGCGCACTTTGTGACCTTTTGTATGAAAACGTCGGCGCAAGCGCAGCGCATGCCGGCGGACCCACTTTGATATGCCCAAGTTTCCCTCTTTTATTAACGCAATTAGTTGATAGCATTAGCTGTGCAGTGCTGTCATACTGGATCCAGTGTTATGAATTCCAATTTAGTTTCTCACTGTTATGATTTGGCTCTCATTCTCTGAGTTACCAATCGCGCTTTACACACACACACACACACACACACACACACACACACACACACACACACACACACACACACCAAAACAGGTCAACAGTGCCTCCTTGTGGGGATACGGTGCCATGCCGTGCCCTTTGTGTGTGCGAGCGCACCTGAGGATGAAGCGAAGCACGCCGAGATGTGAGGTGACCAAATGGTGCTGTAGATGACCCCCTGGTGACCCGTGAAAGTGCTGAGCGATTGGCCGAGGGTGGGGTCCCACTAGGAGGAAGCGAAAGGTCACGGGTCAGACGGGAAAGCCGACAAAGCAAGGAGACCGAGCGAGGCGCGCACCACTTTGGCGGTGCGATCCCACGATCCCGACACGATGGCGTCGTGGCCTCTCGTCTGACTCCAGTCCACCGCGTAGACCTGCGCGCGCGCGCACACCCAAACACACGCACCAACTCCAATGCGGTCGGGACATTGCATCAAACGTGAATTAGGAAAAAAAAAAAAGAGCACCACAGTTTGCAAATCCTTTTCGAGCAAGACTCAAGTGAAGAGAGCCGACAGACGAGCGTCAAACGTGTCCTCCTCTTGCTATGCGACGCTGGCCGAAAGCAGCGCGCGTTCCATCGCATTCCCTTTCGGCGAGACCCGTCGGGCGTTTGGGAAGCCGGCGGACTAACTGGCCAGGCTGCGGAGGTGGCAATTCTTTGGCGGCGGTGGGCGATACCGCCGTATTAGATGGCACCTGGACCATCGCACGAAGCCGAAAGATCACGACATCGTCCGCGGGGCACGGGCGGTCCGGTTTAGCTCGATCGGGGCTCAGAGCCGCTGACGCCGCACCCGACCGAGCGCCGCGCAGTGCAGCCGATGTCCCGCCTCCCCGTTTGATTCCAGAGAAGTTTCAGTACTCGAATGGTTGCAGCAGCCCCGCATTCAGCATCCCCGTCATATTGTTGACTGCGCGCCCGGGACCAATCTTGCCCCTCCGACCGTTTCACCGAGGACTCAAACGGCTCATCAAAGAACACAAACGGATTTCCGGCCTCGGGGTGGAAAAGGATTTGCCGCGGTGGCAACTCGACGGCAATCGGGCGCCCTCGGGCCAGAGAGACCCCCTGCGGCGGCTGACCTCTCGCGCGTGCTCCTTGGCCAGCCTGAGGGGGGCGTCGCGATGAAGGTCCCACAGCTGCAGGCTGCCGTCGCCCCCGGCCGCCACCAGGACGTTCTCGTTGGCTTCGCTCCACGACACGTCAAACAAGCCGTCGCTCCACTCCCACCTGCCGCGAGCGCACGCAAACGGGGCGGCCGTCAATCAACTTGGGAGACCTCGACAACGCCCGCTTGGTGTACGCCGGCGCGGGCTCTGGTTTTGCCTTCTCCGCGTTACCTTCGGGCGAGGCCCGGTCCGGTCGGCGTGTCGTCGAGGACCAACAGCGAGCCGCCGCCTGAGCGCCAGCGGGGTACAGGTTAGAGGTCGGAGGTCGCGGGTCAGCGGTCCGCGGCCGCGCCGGCCCGCGACGTGCCTGCGATGCCGTAGTGCTGGGAGGCGGCGCACGCCAGCCTGCCGGGGAAGAAGGGCGACGCCTCCACCGCGTAGCCGTGACGCGCCGGGCAGCGGAACACCTTGGTCTCCATCGCCGCCGCCGTCCGCTGCAAATGGCACAGACGATCCGCCCGTCGACCTTTTGTCCAATGGGGCCACGTTGCGGACTGACAACCGCAACTTGTATGATGACATCGACAGTAATGCCCTTGTCAAGCTCCACAACTGTTTTTTTTTTTTTGTCGTCCACGACAGTTGCTCTGTCAAGACCACCAGATTGTCGTTTGTCTTGAACCGGGCGAGAGGTCAAACTACAAGTCCGTCACCCAGAACCCATCCCGGCTTTCAAGCTTCGGTCCGTCGGGACAAGAAGCTGTCAGTCATGTCCACAGAGGCATTGGGCCTTCTAGATTGAAAAAAGGCCCAAAAAAAAAAAAACAAATGGACCCGTTCCTCCCAAACGCCTCGCGTCCAGTCGTTGAGTATGTGACGCGATATGGGATGCGACGCGTCAAGACGACTCCAAGTCGGCGACGTTTGTCCGCGACGACGTTTGTCTATCGGCGCAAAATCGGGCGGCATTCGCGCCGCGCCGGCATAGGATCGAACAAGTTGACGTCGTCGCGGAAAACCTCGCGGACACTGCGAACTGCCGCGACCAGTTCGGAAAGCCGAGCCGCGTCGCGCTCCTGCGTCCTCCCGCCAAAACTTGGATCGGTCCGTCGGCGAAAGGGCCGCGTGTGGAAACGGCGGCGGTTCTTTCGGCGCAAGCGCGGCGTATCCTCACCACGTAGTTCCGCCTACGACAAGAATTGCCAAGTGCAGTACCTCCATTTCCCTTTTCGGATCATCACTCCCGTCTCGAGGTTGACATTTCCGAGAAGGATCCGACTCGCCAATCAAGCGCAATGCAGCGCGCGCTCGCCCGTCGAATTGTGTCCCCGTGCGTCCCCGTTGCTGCGGTCGCCAAAGTCCAATAAAAAACTTCGAGTCGCGGAAAGTAACCTGGATCCAGTGTCAACGTCGCCAACTTACCTCCGCCCGTAAAGAAAAGGCAAAGCGGGCCGCCGCAACGGTGGAGCGCGTGGATCTGAGGTGGAATCCCTCTCTTCGGCGGTTCCACTTTGCGGTAAAAAGGAGGAAATCCAAAAAGCGGCGGCGTTCTCCTGGCAAACGTCCGGCTCTTGTTGTTGAGCTTCCGGGTTTTCTTCTTCGTCGTCATATTTGACTCGTTGTCGTCCTCTGCTGGCGACTTTTGCAGCGGTCCGTTGAACGACCCTCCGAGCTTCTTTGCGGTCACGCGGTCGCGGTTCGGGATTTCTCGGCCGATCGTCGGGAATCGAAAAGTGAGCTTGATGAAGCGATTGCGCCACAAATGCAAAACAGCGCGAAATGCCCTGCCGCTGCCAATAAAATTGCTCTCTCGACTATCGTGATTTAGTAACTTGAACTTGAACACTTGTTCTGATGCGCTCAATTCATCGACGCATCAATCGGAGTGTCCCAAACTTGAACCACGAGAACAAACTGAGAGCACAGCACCAAACAGGACACTCGGAATCGAATCATTTGCGGCCAAAAGAAGTCCAATTGCGGCTCCGAGCCTCCACTGACGGGGAGGTCCGAAACGAATCCCCGGACGAGAAGTCGAAAGGTCCTCGCTCGCGCAAGCTGCTGTTAACTTAATGGCGCCGCCTGGCGGTCGAACTCGACACGACAACGCTTTTATTGTTTCAACACATCGAAGGAGACAAGCAAGAGATTTTTTTTTTTTTTTTTTTAAACAAGCCAGCGCTTGGAATCACTGCCGCGACGCGGCCTTGCGGCTCTCCAGCAGGAGGACCAGCAGGCGGCTCTTGAGCGACGCCATCTTGTGGCTGTAGTCACGCCGCAGGACCGCGCTCAGACGACGGCGGAGGTCGGCGAGTTCGGCGAGGGCCGGACCGCAGCCGGGAACGTTGAGCAGCGTGCGGAACAAATGCAGCCACATGTCGCCGTGAGGCTTCCTGACAACGACACGTTCCGATCAATCAACATTGCGGTCCCGCGTTCGATGAGAGATTTGGGGCGGCGCCGTGACTCGCGCCAGGGAACCGACCTTCGAAAGGTGGCGCGGGTCCTCCACTCGCCGTCTTCTTGCACCACTTGCATGTACGTCCCAAAGAGCAGCACGTGGACCGTCCCGGCCGCGCCAAACAAGTCCGTCTGCAACCGGCGCCGTCAGTCAACTCGACAACGTCCACCCGCCGTCGGTTCACGTGCCATTTGACGAAATCCAAATCGAGTCTGACCTGGTAGTTCCAAGGTTTCCCGCTGAGCATCTCGGTGCACTGGAAGCCGGACGTCAAGCATCTGGCGGTGAAGGCGGCGCCCGGGGGGAAGAGGTCCATGTCGATGCTTTGGCCCAGGTCGATGAGGACCAGGCCGTGCCGGAGGTCGTCCGCCTCAAAGTCGTCGTTCTCCACGAACCTGCGCGGCGCAGCCGTTCGTAAAGCGCCGCCAAGCTGCGCTCGCGCGCGCGCGCGCAATGTCGCACCTTTGCCCGAGCATGAAGTTGTCGGGCTTGACGTCGGCGTGGATGAGGCGGGCGGCGTGCAGTTCCTCCAGCATTCGCAGGATGCAGACGGTGAAGTAGATGACGAGCGGCTGAGGCATCACTTTGTCGCCGACGCTTTTGTAAACGTTTGCCGCGTTCTGATGGGAAAACACTCAGATGATCTCCACGCGGCGGGAGGCGGACTGCGATGCGAGATTACGAAAAAACGCAACGCATGCGGCGGGCCCTCGATTCGTTCCGTGACCGCGCGCGGAACGCGTCAAGGGACGGAAGCGGCAAACCATCACGGCCGCGGGCGCATCTGAGCCACGCGCCGAGCTGCCGATGCGCTTCCCCGACAACCGGAGAGGGGCCGCGCGCGACGTACCAGCAGGGTGCCGTAGTCGTGCAGCTCGCCCAGCAGGACGCTGCCGTCGGTGAAGACGTGAGCCGAGCGGATGCGGCCGAACAAATGACGGACGCTCGGAGGCAGGCGACGGTCAAGCTGCGTGTTGATGTAAAACTCCCAGGCGTTGGCCGGTTTCTGCACCTGCGCGACACATGCCGCCGCCGCGTGTGATCAGTCAAGCCGCGAGCTCGCCGCGGCGCGGCCCGGAAGCCCGGGACGCGTTGAAGGGAGCGCGCGTTTTCCTGCCACAACGCTCGCGTCTTCAACGCGGCGCGAACTCCACGCGGACGCGCCGTTCCAACCTCCCGGCCCGCAACGAAGGGGAAAAGTCGGACTTTGAAGCCGGCCTTTCCAACATCTCTTTTGGGGCGGCGGGCCAAAAAGGCTTCTGACACACGTCGCCGTCGGAGGCGCCCTCTTACCTTCAGCACCACCTTGTCGGAGCTGTCGGGGTCGGTGGCCTGGTAAACGGTAGCAAAGGCTCCTCGGCCCAGGACGCGGTCCACCCGCAGGCGCGCGTTTCCTGCCGCGGAGGAGAGGGAGAGCGTCTCCTGCGTTAACCGGGCGAGTCCCGAGCATCGCCGTGCCGAGCGAGGCGTTCAAAGCCGCCGACGGCGGTGGCGTCGTTACCCATGCTGATGGTCTTCTTGGCGCCGATGTCGGGGAGGCTGCGCCGCCAGCTGACGCACCCGGGGTGCGAGGTGAGCGGCGGGCTCAGCCTTGACAGCAAGTCGGAGATGAGCCCGTCGCTCCAGGGATCGGACAGCAGCCGGCCGGCGTCGGAGAGACCGCCGCGCTCCTGTTCGGGGCTCGCCGCGCGCTCGTCGGCGG